ATAAAAGAAATAGTAGGGTAACACTTTAGAATACGGTTCCTTCGTTAACCCGTTTAATCCCACCGGTCACAATTGTGACCGCAGCTTTTTTCTTATTTCTGGAAGCTCTAAAAATGTTGTAATTGACTTTGGGCAAGAAATTCAACTTTTAAATGACAAAATAGATTGTCTTGATTAAAATCAATTAATGTCATGTGACTAGTGTGAAAGGTCACATGACCAGATCAGTTCACTTCCTGCTTGCACATCTAGAAGAAGATGTCTTCCTCAGACTACTACAAAAAGTAGTATATAAAACATCTTAATTTACATATAGAACTATCATATTTTGTACATATATTCTTTAAAGGGTCTACTACTGATATATTTTGAGAATTATACTCCTGCATATATATTTTGCTCGTAAGACGTGTAAATTTGTTTACGGTCACAATTGTGACCGGTAGTATAACACAGTGCTTCAATAGAAATCACAGGTATTGGCTGGTATTGGCAGGTTTTGGCAATCCTACACTGAACATGCCACACCTGTGAGGGGGATGGATGATCTTGGCAAAAGACAAGTGCTCACTAACACAGATTTAGACAGATTTGTGAAGAATATTTGAGAGAAATAGGCCTTTTGTGTACATAGAAAAGGTCTTAGATCTTTGAGTTCAGCTCATGAAAAATGGGGGCAAAAACAAAATTATTGCATTTATAATTTTGTTCAGTGTAGTGATGAGTGTCCCAGAAACGGTCAATGTGTTGGACCTTCTTGACGTACGAGACCCCCTTCACCCCCACCCCCACCCTAAATTGAAAGTGACTGTAGTGATGGCTCAGATAGGGAGTACCAGGGTGAAACAGCCCATTTGCCAAGTAGACTATTGAATGGCGATGCAGAGGTGAATTATCTGGAGGATTGGGCAGATGTTCATGAGAACCAATTGGTGTGCTCCACACATGACCACAAACAACCCTTTCTACAACGTACGGCCCATCTTCAGTGCACTGAATGAGTGCACACACATCTCCCTGAAACTGGCCTAGGACAGGGCCCAAGTGTAGGCATGGTCTAGCCCATACGGGTCTAGCCGAACAAGCAGAAGTTCCTCCAGGGTGTAACTTTGTACATGACAACCCTTTCACCTCACTAAGCCTTCTTCACGAAATGACAAAACGAGATATTGGATGTCTTGGAATGAATTGTGTCAATAGGTCTAATTGAAGAATTTGAATGAATTCTGACTATGTTGTTTCCCACCGGTCACTATTGTGACCGAGTATAAAACCTAATATTTCACTAACTTAACCAACATAAAATCCAAAAAAGCATAATGTTTGAGTGTTAGGGAGGTCTAAGGAGTAAAATGCATGTACTCAAGTTGCAAGAAAAAATTTGGGATTAAACGGGTTAATGAATAACAGGTACAAATGAGTAACACATAATTAAGAATCTAGTAACTACTATTAACTAACAAGAAACTCTGATTAACGAATTAGTAAGTAATAGCACACAGATGAAAGTGGTAGTTCACTATTAACTAATCAATAACTACTATTGGTAACACTTTAGAATATGGTTCCTTCGTTAATGAATAACTACACAGGAACAAATGAGTAAAACAATATTAACAATCTAGTAACTATTAACTAACGCGAAATTCTGATTAACGAATTAGTAAGTAATAGCAGTAGCACACAGATGAAAGTGGTAGTTCACTATTAACTAATCAATAACTACTATTTCTTTAATGCTTCCCAGAAAACTACTGAAAAAGTTTCATAATTCATGCAAAACTAATCAATAACTAATGCAGGACAAATGACTAGCACTGGTTGTGTTTCCCGGGGTTGACACTAGAGGTCCTCGTTCTCACGGTGTCTTTCACTTGTGACTTCATTTCCCAGCATTCTGTCTGTCACACATCAGTTCATTGCACTCAGCTGTTTCCCATCACATTGTTAGATCTGTGTGTATATATTCCGTGTCTGTGTCAGTGTTTGTTACGGAGTCCTTGTTATATGTCACACCACTTCTGAGGTCTGTTTTCTAGTTTGTTCTTGTTTTAGTTCTTGTGTTTGGATTGTTTATTTGGATTTTGACCCTTGCCTGGAAGACTACGATTTGGATTGCCCTATTAAAAACTACTGCTTTTGGATTTCTGTTTTCCTGTGTGTGATTCGTGAAAGAAGGACTCCGTCACCAACTTTATCCAGCGGTATGTTTTGTAACATCTCTTCCCCAGCCACCGAGCGGGAGAGAAGGGAGTTTTTTAAGGGGACCCGATTGGTCAAGTTTCGTGGGACCTGTGGAGGTCGCAGTGGAGGAGGTGGTCGAGAGATGGTTCACGTCACGTCTGCCCAGTCAGAGACTGTTCACGTCCCGTCTGCCCAGTCAGAGACTGTTTACTTCCCGTCTGCCCCGTCAGAGACTGTTCACGTCCCGTCTGCCCAGTCAGAGACTGTTCACGTCCCGTCTGCCCAGCCACAGACTGTTCACGTCCCGTCTGCCCAGCCACAGACTGTTCACGTCCCGTCTGCCCAGCCAGAGACTGTTCACGTCCCGTCTGCCCAGCCACAGACTGTTCACGTCCCGTCTGCCCAGCCAGAGACTGTTCACGTCCCGTCTGCCCAGCCAGAGAATGGTCACGTCCCGTCTACCCAGCCAGAGACTGTTCACGTCACGTCTGCCCAGCCAGAGACTGTTCACGTCCCGTTTGCCCAGCCAGAGACTGTTCACGTCCCGTCTGCTCAGTCAGAGACTGTTCACGCCACGTCTGCCCAGCCAGAGACTGTCCACGTCACGTCTGCCCAGCCACAGACTGTTCACGTCCCGTCTGCCCAGCCAGAGACTGTTCACGTCCCGTCTGCCCAGCCAGAGAATGGTCACGTCCCGTCTACCCAGCCAGAGACTGTTCACGTCACGTCTGCCCAGCCAGAGACTGTTCACGTCCCGTTTGCCCAGCCAGAGACTGTTCACGTCCCGTCTGCTCAGTCAGAGACTGTTCACGCCACGTCTGCCCAGCCAGAGACTGTCCACGTCCCGTCTGCTCAGTCAGAGACTGTTCACGCCACGTCTGCCTGGTCAGAGACGGATCAGGAGATGCCCATTCGCGTGGCCGCGAGGACACTGTTGGACTATTTGGAGTGTCTGGCTCGGATCCTGGACATGCCTGTGTTGTCTGTTCCAGAGCCGGAGCCAGTGTCTGTTCCAGAGCCGGAGCCTGTTTCAGAGCCGGAGCCGGAGCCAGTGCCTGTTCCAGAGCCGGAGCTAGAGCCAGAGCCGGAGCCTGTTCCAGAGCCGGAGCCAGCGTTTGTTTCTGTGTTTGTGTCTGTTCTTGTGGCCGTTACTGTTCTAGTGGCTGTTCCTGAGCTGGTGTCTGCTGTTCCTGAGCCGGTGTCTGCTGTTCCTGAGCCGGAGCCAGTGTCTGCTGTTCCTGAGCCGGAGCCAGTGTCTGCTGATCCTGTGCCTGGGCCGGTGTCTATTCCTGTGCCTGAGCCGGTGGCTGTTCCTGTGCCTGAGCTGGTGGCTTTGCTCGTTCCTGAGCCGGTGTCTTTGCCTGTTCCTGAGTCAGGGTCTGTTCTTGTGCCTCCGCCGTGGCCGCCCGAGGGGTCTTCACCGCCGTGACCGCCCTGGCCGCCCGAGGGGTCGTCTCCGCCCTGGCCGCCTGAGGGTTCGTCTGCTTTGTCCTGGCCGCCGGCTAAACCATTCCCCCCTGTTTCTGTTCCCTTCCATGGACCTGGCCCCCCATCCCTCCCCCTGATCCTCCTTGCCACCTCCCTCCTGGACTTTTTTTTTTTGTGTGTGGGTTTTGGAGCGTCTGGTAGCCGCTCCGTAGGAAGGGGGTACTGTCGCAGTGTCTGGTTGTGTTTCCCGGGGTTGTCACTAGAGGTCCTCGTTCTCACGGTGTCTTTCACTTGTGACTTCATTTCCCAGCATTCTGTCTGTCACACATCAGTTCATTGCACTCAGCTGTTTCCCATCACATTGTTAGATCTGTGTGTATATATATTCCCTGTCTGTGTCAGTGTTTGTTATGGAGTCCTCTTATATGTCACACCACTTCTGAGGTCTGTTTTCTAGTTTGTTCTTGTTTTAGTTCTTGTGTTTGGATTGTTTATTTGGATTTTGACCCCTGCCTGGAAGACTACGATTTGGATTGCCCTATTAAAAACTACTGCTTTTGGATTTCTGTTTTTCTGTGTGTGATTCATGAAAGTAATAGCATAGCAGACTTATGATTTGGGAAATCAGAGAGTCTATGCTCTCTCCTAGAGGACTATTTATCAACTGAATAATTTTAAAGAAATGGATTTTAAGTGCAGTTGTCAGGACCTTACTTGTCCTGTGGCCAATTTTCCGGCATTTCTCTGGACTGGCATTGAATCACTAGAGTCACGGTGACGACTGGAATTGAGTTATTATCAGCCATCCAAATGCCATATACTTGGTATACATATACATATCCTAGAATCGTGCAGGCCTACTTTGCAGATGTTGTTTATACAGCAACATTACATACTAGTTAGAAAAGTGAAATCATAATCAACCACCCCTTTAAACAGGATAAATGGTGTGAGCCTAATTTAAAAGTCATCAAATCAACACATTTTCTACATTGTGTAAAAATCACAGTTAAATAATATTATTGATAAAATCATTTAATTTTATTTATTTTAATTTGCACATATAAATGAATATACAACAGTGAACAAATTACATTCTAGAACAATTCTCAGTGAAGATACACTGATGGAACTTTATCAAGTCATTGAACTCTTCAAATGTCCCAGTGCACACTGCAGACACGAAATGTTATTATTTTAGTTTTGTTACCATTTACTCAATAATGTTCTTAGCTTCTGTTATACTCAGTACACCTTTAATATTTATCAATTTCCTGATGAAGTTTCCGTACTCTAAATACGGGAACACAATATTAGATACAGTCACCCACCTATATTTTACTTTTAATCTCTTAAAAAAATTAACAAACATTAATATTTTTTGTTTAATCTTTGACAATAGCTTAATAGCTAACGTATCTATTTCTGAACGACTTTCTACTGTAAGTAACATATTGAATGTAATTTATAGGAAGAAAAAACCCAGAAGATTCTAGACAGAAAAGCCTAAATTTCAGAAACTCATTTCAAACTGTGGTCGATGAATTAGAGACCTGCACATGGCTCATTTTCATTTGTCATTAGATGTAATCATCCAAACTCTCGATAGCTTGCTCTTTTGAGTATTGGCTCCATCCGTATGAAATGTCATCCCACCTGTGGAATGTTTTCTCAAAGTATTCTTCCAGATCTTTCTGAAATCTGCACACAAACCACTTCCAGTATGGCAGCTCAGAGAAGTCAGGGGTGATGCTCCACTCTGCATAAACATGCCCTGCATTTCTGTAATCTCTACATGGAATCCACTGACCTGTATAGAACATTTTACCAGTTGTCACTAATGTTGTGCAAAAATCTGCACTGAGACACTCTGTTTCCTCATAACAACATCCAGTAAGACCATTTACTCGATGGATAGGAACACTGTGATCTTCAGTATGGTTTTCTACAGTGTTAGTGCAAGTGGCTGCACAGAACGGACACTGAACCCAGCAGCACTGACAGAGATGATCAATCAGAATCTCATCGGGTCTGTCCTTGTGTTCCAGATTTTCTGGAAATGTCTCTTTGCTGAATTTATGTTGTATTTCAGATGATACTGAACCAAGTTCTTTGCTTATCACATCTTCCAGGAGTTTAAAATCATCAACACCATCATGACTCACTCCTCTGAGGTCCTTTACAGAGAATATCAGCACATCTGAGAGCTGTCGAGTGAAATAATTCAACCACTTCTGAACATCTCTGTTGGTCGTGTTGACCCGTGTAGTCGCTCTGTGAGCCGCTGCCATGATCTTCTGTTGCAGGAGTTCAATGTTCTCCTTCATCTTGGGCCGAACACGGACTCCGAAGTTATCAGTTATGTACTGATTGACTTCATCTTTGATGAAACTCTTGAAGTGATCTTTGGGACTGTAAATGTAGGTAATGTATTTGTGAAAATCCTCCTCTTCTGCCAGAGTCTTGAGGATGTGTTTCTCTAGCTTAGATCTGTTTCCATTTAACGATTCACAGTTTGTCTTGATTTCATTTGTCAAATCTCCGGCAGTATCTTTATAGACACTTTTTTGAATTGGCTCTTTCAGTTTCTGACAGATGATCTCACCAAAAATGGCAGCTGATGTTGCACCTTGACAGTATTTCTGGAAAATACTATAGTACTCTTTGCTCTTCTTTTCAAAGTAGAAAACAGGATCGTTGGCTTCCCTGAACTTTCTGTGCTGGTCAGTAATTAACTTGTTTTCTCTCTTACAGATGGAAATGACCAAATCCATGTAAAATTCCTTTGTGAACACATATTTCCTGGAACCTTGCCCATATTCTACTACTCTGGCTTTGATATAATCTGCGAGTTCTTGAATGTAGGTTTTGTTGTAGCCCATCTTTTCAATGTTATACGACAAGATCATTGTGTGTGCTTGTTGAGCAATGTCATTGACTAAAGTTCTTATTTGGTTTTCAACTTCAATGTTACCAAACATTAGTTGAGCTGATCTGAAGGCTTTTTTAACACGTTTTGCAATTCCGCTACATTTCTTTAACTGTACATAATCGGAATAACTCTTTACAGATAAAATATCCCTGCTCTTCTCCCAGTTGTTTACAGGGAAACTTTCATAGTTGCTGAGAAGTTGTTCCATGTCTTTTAATACATCAATGTTTTTGATTGAAGGAGTTTCTGTCTTAATCTTGTTAACACACTCATCCCAAAATGAATCAAACTCTTTTTTCAGGATTGTTTCATCATTGGCTTTGTCTTTGAGTTTTAAGGCGAGTTCTTTGCTCTTTTCCAAGAGAGTATTTTCATGACGTGTCCTCTGAGCATCGATCTTTTTCTTCATATCTTGCTGCTGAAGAATCTCATTTAATTTCCTTTTTGTTTCTCTCACAATGTTCTCCTGAAGGTCTTTGATTTTGATGTGGAATGATGCTTTCCACTGTATCAGTATATCTTTATCTTTGTCTTTCTCAAAAAATTCTGACATTGATTTTTCTACTTCTTGACTTTTCACTTTTAGTTTTCCTTGAAGATCACTTTCTGAAACCTCATTAATGGTTTCATTTTCGATGTTGTTGTAGAGTTTGTTCTCTATTTCCAGCATGGTTCTGCGAAGACTCCAAGACCACTTGCTGTATTCTGTCTCCAGTTTTCGGTATGTTGCGATTTCCAGAGAATTTCTGAAGCTGAATACAAACCGTTCATTCAGTAAAGCCTCCCAGAGATCATTAATACGATCTTTTAGGTGTGTCAACTCTAACCCATCTGATTTTGAGGCATGGCCAAAAAACGTTGTCTTTAGCTCTTGGATGTTTTCACAGTATGATGGGTTTGGTGGTGCCATCGGTGGGCTTCCCTCCCAGAGCTGTCCAAAATACTTTATATCCTTCTGTATATCAAAAGTGATGACATCACTGAAACATTCTGCATCACAGACTTCATCTTTAGCAGCGAGTTTTGTCATCTCATCCAGTGTCTCCTGCAGCCGTCTCCTTCCCTCCATGTTTCTCTCCCCAGCTGTGATGTCCGAAACATTCTGATGGACAAACATGCAGCTGGGATTCAGTTTGACCTTCTTCATCCTCATGAAGGCCTGAACGACGATCTGAAGAATGTCCTGCAGCTCTGACGGGCTTTCTCCAAAGACATTGATCAATGTTAGATTACCAAGACCAACAACAAATGTGGCCATTTCATTGTCTTGATGTCTTGTTGACCTTCCAGACAGTTCTAGAGCTCGAAGCCCCTCAGTATCAACAACCAGAATATAGTCAAACTTCAGCTGTTCTTTCATCTCCTCTGATACTCTGACCAGCTGCATGAAAGCTCCTCTGGTGCATCTGCCAGCGCTGACAGCAAACTGCAGTCCAAACATGGCGTTCAGCATAGTGGATTTCCCTGAGCTCTGAATCCCTAAAACTGACAACACAAAGACTCTCTTGTCTCCCAGTTTCTTGATGAGTTCATGTAGAACAGCAGTAACCCAGACCACAGGAACATGAGCAGCATCCCCATCCATCAACTCCAGTGGAAATCCAGAGATCATCATGTCTGCTGCAAGACTCGGGAGGAAAGTAAAATTACACGGCAGGCCTTCCTTGTTACTATTCACTGATTTACATGATTCATACATCTGACCGATCTCCCTCAGGATGTGCTCCAAGCCAAAGGTTGCAGCTTGAAGTTCTTTAGATATTCTATCAAGTTCTGCAGGTTCACTGTTCATCTGTTGCTCAGCTCTGACTTTTGACCATTTTTCATCATACTTATAATGTAGAGCAGAAAGGTCAACTGAGGTATATTCATCCAGGAGGATTGCGAGCCATTTCAGAAAAAAAGTCTTCTCATTTGGAGATTGTGAATTTATTTCGGTAATAAACAACTTCATGAACCCAGCAAGGTTCAGCACATGCTGCTGTTTACGGATTCTCTTCATTTCTTGTTTCTGTTTTATTTCCATGTCTGTTTCATTCCCCTGAGATCGATGTAGTTCTTTGTTCTTTTCACACCACTGATGCCACAGTTCGCCCTGACAGGGCAGAAATAATTCTTTAATTTTTGTCAGATTTTTATCCTTCAGTAAACCCATCATCTGCTGTGCTGCTTCTTTTCCTCTTCTACAGTCATTGTCATGATCCTCATCTACTCTGATACCTGAGTGTTTGGACACATCTTCAAGACTGAAAATAGAAGATGATTGTGATGAAAAAAATGAGAGACATTTAATTATAGCTTGTATGAGTTCTTCAGATACATCTGACTGATTTCTCTTATTTAGTCCAATTTTGTATTTTCCTTTTCTCATTTCAGTTACTCTAGATTCATCTTCAGTAAGAAGACAAATTAGTGGCTTTCTGTCCTTGTACAGGTTTTGGATCTTTACTGCATTCTTGCCATTCTTGTCAAGTCGTGGTAGGATAACAACATTGACTGAGGACATTTCAGTGAGGATCTGCAGCTGTTTCTCATGGTCTCCTGCATCACCGTGTAGATTACAGAACGCAACACATTGAGTAAAATTATCTGTGTCTTTCCCAGAGGGGCAGTACCAGGCGATCTCCACCACTCCATCCATCAGTACTCTGGTGTTGCTGCTGCCTGTGCAGTTCCTATGGAAGAATGTGTTGTGTTTCTCGTTGATCAGACTGTTCATCAGCTGAGATTTGGATGAGGACAATGAGTCAAACCTGAAGAAAGACACCATAGCTGTTTTTGCCTTCCAGACTGGCTGGATTTTACTGATGATTTCATTGTTGGTATCTTTCATCTTCCAGCTCTTGTTGATTTGTCTGAATGTCCAGAGAGGAAACTCAATCTCTTGTGTGAATGGATCCGGAACAAGCAGAGGCAGAGCGTACTGACACTGAGACAGTTTAGTCACCATGAGCTGCTTTAGTAAACTATCAGCATAATAAATCGCGGCCATCTGAATATCCATTGGGTGAATAGCATCTCTTCTGTTTGTCTCTGCAGGACACAAAGATATTTCATTGAAAATATCGGCATCACCCTCCTCTTCAATAAAGTCACTGTTTATTTGTTGTCTGTCATCCTGTGAATCTATAGTTTTAATGTATCTTGCTCTGTAGTTCATCATCAGCAGTTTTTTGAGGAAAGTCTGAATCAGGTCCTCCTCAGCACAAGACTCACAAGACTCTAATGAATGTTTAGTTAGTTGAAGAACATCTGCAGCTCTTAGTTGAAAGGGGTGCCTTTTATCAAGATGAAGCCTGTGAAATAGATGCTCTACTTTATCCCCCTTTCCGTTTCCTCTTTGATCCAATCTTGCAGCATCTATTGATCGCGTCTCTCCCTGAGAAATATACAGCACAAGGCAGGTAGCTTAAAACAATTTACAATGAACTGAAATAAAGATGAACCATTTTCATCTTTGATTTTAGTACAACCAGTAATTGTTAAAAAGAAATTTTCATGCTCACAAGCAAACTGTGGGCACATGATTAGCTCTCTTTGGAAAGTAGTGCACATGACAGTTAAAATGTGCAAAATCATATATTTAAGATTAATATGTAAGTGTGTAAGTGTTTTTATAAAGGCTGAATATCTAAGGGTTTGCTGAGAAAATGTGACAAAAAATAAGTTTGACTCTTTGCAATGCATTTATCAGTAAATCTATAAATAACTTATACCATAAAAGGTCAAGAGAAACTATGAAAAGGAAGGAATGATAATAAGGAACCACTTTTTAAAGAAACACTTTTATAAGCTTTATGTCTACACATCCACAGAATTATTTCTAACTACTGCTCCTTTTCTATTTTTACACTAACTCAACACTTACCCCACGTCTCTCTCTTGTCTCTGTTGTCAAGGTGTAGTCCATATTATTTTCAATAATTGTGGTTTCATCTTGTGACAGAACAGAAAAGGTGAAATAAATATTAAAATGGCACTGAAATTTTAAGTTAAAGCAAATCCGTCCTCTAAAAAGAATAATAACATTTCATTTTTTGTTGAAAACTGATATGACTATGCAGTTTTCTTAATCTCCTCCAGCATAATTTTGAACTTAAAATATAATTTAGGATGGTAAATCAAACTTATATAGTCTAATTTAACAAAACATAACACCAACATATTGGAGTCTATAACAGTCTATTTTTTGTTGTAGCTTTTTGTCTTTATTTTGGTTTCATTATCTCTGGGTGTTTTCTCTTTAAAGCCTTTTCACGGTGTAACATGTTCGTTTGGTTTAGGGCGTTTTCACACCTGGAAGTCCGCACCAAGGTCCGAACCAAAGTTCACGTTTTGATACATTTTATACTTTCAGAAAGTTTTGGTTTGGTTTCACACTGCAATTATGCGAGCGCACTAAAGAACTTTACGTGACATACTTACGTCCTGTCGTCATCATCTATGTGGGCTGCATCTTGACATTGATTGGTTTTGTAAATGGACGTGCGTCTGACGTCAGCGTGTTGTCAATTCGGCGGGTAACTTTGACAACATGAATGAACAGACACATATCTCCCGTCCTCTCATACCCTCTCTCTCTCATCCTCTTGGAATATTTGGAAAGTGTCTGCATTTTTGTGCGTTTTTTCCAGTTGACTTCTTATCATGTTATCAGACCATACTTCAATTAAAAACCTTGTCTCCTACACTCCCCATGTGCTACCACGGCTCATTTTTCCTGCCACCTTCTGTTTTTCTCGGCTATGCGGGAACCACCGGAGCTTCCTGTAAAAGGTCTGAAAATCCGAACCATACAGAAATGCTTTCACACTAGAAACGAACCAAACCTTTGTTCAGTTTGATCCCAAATTTCATCTGTTTGGTCCGGACCGTGGTCCGGGGTAGGTTTCACACCTGTAATTTTGATTCGGACCAAACTGAAAAGTCCGAAAGTCCGGACCAAACAAGGTAGGTGTGAAAGGGCCCTAAGTCTGTTAATTGATTTGGGAAGTTCTTGGTTCCCTTTTGAAACAGTCTCTCACATTGCGTGAAAAACGCTTTTGGGGTAAGATCCGTTTTCTTAGAATACTGAAGGCTGATTTGTTAACGTTTGTGCAGCTGCACAAAACTTAGGATTTTGGCCTGCCAAAACGGATGGGGTTGACTGCCTATAAGTAGGTGCCGAATGCCATATTATCAGAATCTTTCTCCTTCAGCCCGAACATCATCTCCGCGCTGACTCCGAAGAAGAAAGAAGCCTCTCTACTTGCTGTCGAAGCAAGTCAGCTGCAGAGGATTAACGTCGCCTTGCAGCTCACGGCTCGCATCTGACTCAGGGTTTCTTCCCTGCGGCTATCAGGCAAAAGCACAAAAGAGCAAACTTCTTTCTAAAAGAGCTGCGAGGTTTGATGCAAAATGACACCACGAATGTAGCTCGGACGAGCACACCAAGTGCATAGCTTGCCTGGGACTCGCCCACATCGTGGCTGTACTCACTAAGCCCAGCTGCTCGCACTGCAAGAAGGAGAGCGGCGCACCGGCGCTGACAGCACTGCAGCTGAGAACAACGCTGACAACTTGGCAGCTGAGAATGGCACTTCTCCCCTGCAACTATCAGGTGAGACTAATAGAGCATATTTTTAACTCTAAAAGAGCATATTGCCCCTCTGAGCACGTCGCTTATCAGGGCTGCGTCCATGCCAAGCCCGTTAATCAAAGATGTGCCGCCCTCAGTGCGAGAGCAAAAGTCTGGCCTCGCTATGCTAAATAAAGCATCTCTGTCTCTTGTTCTCCATCATTCTCTCCCTCTCAGGAGCCTGAAAGGAAGAAACAATGGAGTTGCAGGGCTGAGCAGATGGGACTAAGTAAACTCAAGCCTGTCCATATCCCACGTGCCTCACTCTCCCTGCAGCAAAGGGGATTCCTCAGTGCTCTTCACTAGTGAAGACCAGCACCCTTGTCTGGTACAGGTGTTTTAGGGCGTTTTCACACCTGGAAGTCCGCACCAAGGTCCGAACCAAAGTTCACGTTTTGATACATTTTATACTTTCAGAAAGTTTTGGTTTGGTTTCACACTGCAATTATGCGAGCACACTAAAGAACTTTACGTGACATACTTGCGTCCTGTCGTCATCATCTGTGTGGGCTGCATCTTGACATTGATTGTTTTTTTTAAATGGACGTGCGTCTGACGTCAGCGTGTTGTCAATTCGGCGGGTAACTTTGACAACATGAATGAACAGACGCATATCGTTGCAACTATATTGTTATTTTTATGGCATAATTACTTGCAGCACTACACACAAGGCTAGTTCAAATTTGCCAAATGAACGTCCTCGTCGTGCGAACATTTTATCGTCGCCGGCAGAAAAGGAGGAGAAGACTGCAAGTTGACTTATTATGTCATCAGACCATAGGCGTAATTTGCGGGTGGGACATGTCCCCACCACTTTTTGCCTGGGTCGATATTGTCCGCACCACTTTTGAAACATCTCGCGGCACAGATGTAACTAATACAAATAAATAAAAGATCTCTAGTTAACTAGCAGAGCATTCATTTCATTCGTTTGTTAAATAAGAGGCGATCTAGCACGCTGAAATGTGTTGCTTTTGAAATCAAGTGATCAAAGTGCTCGTTGCTGCTGCGATCACTTTAATCCGAATACTCTCTATTCGTCTATTCCTCTATTTCCGGTGAAATCACACAGTAAAATGCACACAAACGTGTCCCTGCTTGATATACAACCACTGATAAACATAATCGGTTTTAATGAGAAAAAAAAAAAACTATACGAGTGCGGATTAGAACCCAGAACCTCTGACACGCTTGGCAAAAGTTCTGCCACTGGACCATTAAAGTGCATGCGTGTAACAATCGGATCTATGTATTTCTTCACGTGAAATTTCTCGGCACTAACACATACTAGACCTCATTAAACGACAAATTAAACACAATGTACTATTTAATTGCTGGACATCGGTATGTTATTGTACATAGGTACATCTGATTTATTATTTAGCATTGTATTACCCCCCACCCACTTTTTAAAGCAAAGTTACGCCACTGCATCAGACCATACTTCAATTAAAAACCTCGTCTCCTCCTCTCCCCATGTGCTACCACGGCTCAATTTTCCTGCCACCTTCTGTTTTTTCTCGGCTATGCGGGAACCACCGGAGCTTCCTGTAAAAGGTCTGAAAGTCCGAACCATACAGAAATGCTTTCACACTAGAAACGAACCAAACCTTTGTTCAGTTTGATCCGGACCAAGACTACCTCTTTTCGTCGGACCAAATTTCATCTGTTTGGTCTGGACCGTGGTCCGGGGTAGGTTTCACACCTGTAATTTTGATTCGGACCAAACTGAAAAGTCCGAAAGTCCGGACCAAACAAGGTAGGTGTGAAAGGGCCCTTAGTCTCTTTTAATAGTTCCAAGAAAGAATTTGTGCCAATGACATTGGTGGCTTTAAATACAGAGGAATGCTCGGACTCCATGCAAGACTACACTCCCTACTGCCTAAGGAACCAGGTAATGTTAAGGGCCTGGCCTGAACTTGACATAAACTTGGTTTGGAGTGGTCGGCCCTGGAAGTGCCTGTCAACAGCAGCTTTAACAAATGGTTCCTGCAGCCGGGGTGCCATCAGCGAGCCCCCTGCCAGGAATCAAACCCATTGGTTTGTAATGAACTATTTGTGGCGTATGCCCTACTTGGCCCGCGCTCAATCTTCTACTTTGGCTACCCTCACCATTGTTGATGGAGGCCGTGGCAAAACCTACTCTGTGGCCAGTCAAGCTGGATCCTGGATCATAAACGTTATTCTCTCAAAAATACAAACATGTACATGTTGCTGACATATTATGGTAGCCCTGTTTGTGCTGAATAGTGTTATGACACTTTTGCCATTAATATGTTTATAAGCAACTGAAAAAAGCACAAATGTCAGGGCGTCAAAACACGTTGGACCCCTAAGGGTTAATAATTGGAGATTTTCTTTATTTTTGATTGTCTTTGTTTCTATGTTATTTTATTAACAGTTTAATTTTGCATCTGAATCTTGGCTTGACTGAGTATCTGTTACAAGTAGTAAATCATGAATAGAAGTGTTTGAGTCAGAGGCAAATAAAAATGTCAGGAAACCAACATAACATCAATGAAACCAAATCTGTGTTCTTACCACTTTGACATGTCCTGTCTTGCACATCTTCTCTCTTTCTTAACGCAGTGTTGTACATCTCTCTAGTGTAGCACTGCTGGTTATTCTCAATAAACAGATTCTCAACTCTGCTCATCAGGTCTCTCATCTCTGACTGTTTGGTCATGTTCTTGCTGCAGGTGTGATATCTTCCACCGCATTTCTTCAGCAGCCGCTCCAGAGGAGAGTTTTTCTTCAGATCGTCTATTATAGAGTCAGACTCTTCCTCGCTCTCATAGGTGAAGAGAATCATCACAAACTGAAGAACTCGGTCACCAAATACTCTCTGAAGCCACTCAATACCCATCTTATCAGCATCTGTTAGCTGACCCAGTCGCACAACAAAGATGAAGGAGATTATTTTATTTTCACTCACTAGTTGACCAGTGAGGGGATCCAGGTCAAGTGCAGTCTCATGTAAGCCAATCATGTTGATAACTGAGACACGACGTCCTGATATCTTCATCTGGAAAGGAACCATGCTGGATATTTCTACATTTTCAATATCTGCTTGTATTTCTCCAAGTAGAATATTGTCATGTTGAAACTGGACTGCCGCAGAGTTTCCAAATAACAAAATGGTCTGATTGTGATCTAGAATAAACAGAAGAGCCATTCTCAGATTCATCAATGTGCTGTAACATAAGAACAATTATCATTCAGGAATGCAAATAATCTTATATTTTTGTCTTCTTACCCATACTGCTGAGCGATGGATAAACGGAGACAGACAGTCGAGGTGCTCATCAAGTTTGGAGATGCTCCTTTATTCTACAGCCTGTTCATTATCCTAAAAAAGATTCATTTTCATAATTTTAGGTGTATATAACATCATTTAATTTCTCTTTAAAGTCTAACATAATTTCTACATGTTCACCATCTGAGGGATGTTGAAGTTATGAAGTCATTACTCAAGAGACTTGAACTCTTCCTGCTATAGATGCAAGTATAGGTTTAGATCCAGTCGAACAGGATCTGCAGTTTACAGAAACATAGTCTGATGTCTGGTAAATCACATGGTATCTTTTCTAAGAGCACCTGACAACCAAGTAAATTCGGTAAATCCCAGCCACATGTAACTTCCTCTTTAAAAGTATTTTTAATTGTATTGTCCTACAGGCACATATAGGCTAGTCCCAAAAGGCTGACTTTGTTATTAATACAATCTGTCTGTGTCATGTCTTTCAGACACCCATTATGCAGGGTTCTCAAGTTTTATCAAAACAAAGCTTGGAGTGAGATCACATGCAGTTAGGGGAGGAGCCCTAATGGAGCCCCGCCCCTGCCCCGCCCATCCCCGCCCCCCAATTTTACCCATTGTTCATAATTAACCTGCACAAACTGAAATTATAACAAAATCTAAATCTGGTAAATCTGATAAATGACACAACAATTCATCACATCAAATATATTCTTTGACGTTATATTTCAAAATTACAAATATACAAAAATATAACAAATTGCTCCTTACAGTTTGGGGAAAAAAAACTTTTTGCATTTTGAATGTGTCTACTCGAAATGGTATAATGATTTATTGTGTGGTGGGACATTGTGAACAAATGGACATATTAGAGTATTAAGGTGTGTGTGTTTGTGTGTGTGTATACACAAGAGTACACACTCCAGCTTATGAAATGTGTTTTGTGTTGTCGTCTGCTTTAATAGATTTAGCCTTAATGTAACTAGAAAGACCATTAATACAGTATAATATATAATTTAAAATAAAATGAAAAAATACATCTTCATTCCTTCCCATACCCACTAAAAAAGTGGGTATGGGAAATTTCATTTTTTCATGGGAAGTTTTTCCCTTAGTTTCAGATAACGTAAGCTAGCCAAACTGAGCCAAAGCTTCTGGCCTGGTTGCAAAGTAGTTGTAGAGTTTTTAACTGCGTCAATAATAATGTATATGATGGGCTATATATGAAATGTTCTTGCCTAAAAATGTTAGACGAGCTTTCTTCCAACTTACCTTCTCCATCGCGATGTTGTTGGTTACCTACTGTGCAGAAGATGACTGGCTTCTTTGATTTAGATAGTTTGTGGATCGTTAAGTAGAGCTCACAGCGGGTGATCGGTCAGAATCACACAAGGTTTCTTCATTGAAAGTATTTATTGAATTTAAAACTGCATGGTTGAATATGTACATTGACGTGTGTGTGTGGTTCTGAAACAAATAGAAGAAATAAAACCAACATAATTAGTTGAATGCAAATGAATGCTTATGCAACAAACCTCTATTTATATTAACTATGTGCCTAGTATAACATCTTGCCAATGGACTACAGTTGAAAATTAGCCTGCTGGCTAACACTGGCACATTTACAGAAATGTTAATCAATGTGCACTGTCCTTAAATAAATAAATGAAAATGAAATGAACTGTATCCTATTCTAATAATATAGCAAGAATAAAATACAATACTATTTTAACATAACCGAAACTGGCATTAACAGAATGAAAAAGGCTGTTCTGTGGATCTAAACAACTACAATGAGAAAGGATAAACCATTCGCAATACAATGACTCCCTCTGCTGGTCACATAACTACACCAAGCCGCTCCGAGAGGTGTAACGTGATGACCAGTGTATATGTGGGAGGCTCGCGTCCTATAACCGATTAACTGGATTTAAGGCAAATATCACCACGATAGCTTACAAACTATGCACAGAAAGTTGCTTAACTGGTATTTCACAATGTGTAACCAAAGAATAATGCCCGAGTGGCAACGTATACATCAATAGAAAGAAGTATCACGACACGAGGCCTAGCCGAGCAGGAAAGCCTGAGCTAACACTAAACAGACGAAACACTACCAATCTAAACTTTGCAATGACAGTAAAAGAACAACAAAATACAGATTCTTATTTGTAAAGACGCACACAGAATAAAGCAGTTGTATCAAGGCGAGTTATAATTGTGAGTCCGTGCGGTTAGCGTACACTACTGGGCTGGCAACGCCTCTAACAGAATACTACCCGCGCGCAACGATCCTTTGTGATTGGCTAAGAGTCCAGGTGAAGCGAGGTGTCTTCCAGTAGGAGAGAGAAAGTCACAGTAAAGTATCTGACGCTTAGCGGCCACAAGGGGGCCTTTTTTTACACACGAACCACGGTGGCCGAGAATGTTCCGTCAACTTCCGTGTGTTCGCGCATCTATGTTGCTTGGTAACGAACGCAATCTGGCCGAGATACGTGCTGGCGGCAGGAAACTTCACTTTGTGTGCCTGCGCCTCGTATACAACGTTTTAAAGCTTGCAGAAAATTGCCTTTTCAGCGTGAGAAATACACAGTGTGGCGTGTGAGCGTGTGAACTGTTTGAATTGCGACTTGAGAACCCTGCATTATGTGTTCTGAAACAGCAAACCCGAGTTATAAAGCAATAAAAGAGTTTGATTGGTTTCATGTGCGTCATCTGTACTGAATCTCCCGAGTCCCAAAGGGCACATAAAAGCTGCTCCTGCCTTACATGACATGTCAGAAAGTGATGTTTGTTCAATTTTGTGAGTGTACACAATTTTACATATTACTGCATATGCAGCATATCTAAGACATTTTTAAACAAATCACTAATGTTTTTGTGAAATATTTTGTAAGATTTAACTATAAAAAAGCAATAGTACATTATGACTAACATTATTGTTTACCGATGATTAATAACATGCGGTTTACTTATGGAATTTGACACCTACATACCAAAATGTTCAATATTAACTTTCAACTAATAAAGTTAACCAATATTGAAACTTAATCTGAGGAAAATTGACTTTGGTGAACACTGGTGAACACCGTGAGCAATGTTAATTTACCCCAGTTATGGTGACATCACTTACTGCCAGTGTGGTAAGTTACCTGACAGGAAATTTCCTTTTTCTTACAGCATAAAGTGGTTATGTAACTTAAAGGGGGCAAAGTATTGTTTCAGAAACATGAGAAAGAGATGTTTTATTTTTACCTTGTCCTTCTTCCTTGAAAGTTGTCTCACAAGTTGATTTCTGAACATAAATGTTCAACAGCCATTTCTCAATATGCAATCTTGTCTGTACTTGTGTTCTTGTGGACTTGTGAACCGCCATCCGTCGCTGCCCAAGTATTGTTCCAATACAAAGTCCACATCTTGCTAAGTACAGTTCAAATTCCTTGATGTGTTCTTGCTCCACCCCTTTTATCAGTATATGAACCTAGTATGTCCGAATTCATAGTGTTCATAAAACAGTAGGCAAAAAAAAAAAAAAAAAACTGAATGACCTTCCGTTCAGATTCTGAATTGGGCATCTAATTGGCAATATCCCATGAGGCCACAGGAGAGGAGTTGTGAATGGCAGTGAAGTGACAACAACTGATGCTGTAGGTCACATGACAGTGACAACATGGCAGAAGTAGCGTGTCCGAATTGCATTTATATTACACACATTCACACTATAGAACTGTCTTTTTTAACAGTTGTGAAGCAAGTTTCAAAACAAATGTAGTTCCTACAACGGTATGTGATTTAGAACGCAGCCCAAGTCCAATTCCTGAAATCTCAAACTACTTTCCACACTCACATATTTCAAACCAGCAACAAAATCTAAAATGAACTGTCCCATCAAATTTATTTTCTATGGTCAAATTAGCAAGTGTTGAAAAGGCTTGTCTTTCAGGCAGGACCAGCCAATGTGTCCTAAGCACACGCTTCAGGACAAGTGTTTTTTATGACAACCGGAGCTTCTAACAGCAATTGTGGTGATGCATGATTTATGAAGATAGTGCCTATTTGAAAATTTGCTCTTTTCGAAGGTGTTTGGTGCCGAGAGCAGCATTACTTCGGCAAATACTTCTGATTTTTTTTGCTGACTCTAATGTCTCAGTAGTGCTTGGGTAAATCTAACGACAATCTTTGGCCTCATGAATCTATTATTTGTTTGTAAATAAACAAAACATTCTAACAAAACAAAACAAACTAAATTAAAGTGTGTGTTTACATAATATATGTGTGTGTACTTTGTATAATTATTTTGTATATACATACACACATATGAAAGTATATAGAAAAAAAAAATGTGTTATATATATATATAAATATTTATATTTATATATAATATAAATTATGTATAAATATGTATACAGTATATACATGCAAATATTTTTACATCTCACACCTCTGTTATCAAGTAACGTGATTGGTTATCAAGGCACACGTGATCCAAGTTGGCCATTAAGCTTTCACCAACACTAGAGCCACAGACCCTGTATCTCCTAATAAGACCATCTCTGCTGCTGTTCTATTTACAGAATGACCAGACTTGCGTCATCCCGTCCTCGGGAGCTCATACTGAGATGAACTTGCCAGATCTTTAATGTTACAGCACTACAACTCATATTCTACGCAGAGAAATATACAGTGGTGTGAATAAGTTATTACCCCCATGCTAAAGTTGCCTAAAAAGAGGAATAAAAAATCATCTTTTGGAAATTTATCTTAATGCCTTAATTAGAAAAATGAGGAAAAATCCAACCTTTAAGGACACCAATTTTCTTTGTGTATGAATAATGTATCATAAATAAATAAATAAATGTTCTTCCTTAAAATACAGGGTGCATAAGTCAGGCCCCCCCTATGTTAAATTCCCATAGAGTCAGGCAGATTTTTATTTTTAAAGGCCAGTTATTTCATGGATCCAGGATAATATGCATCCTGATAAAGTTCCCTTGGCCTTTGGAATTAAAATAGACCCACATCATCACATTCCCTTCACCATACCTAGAGATTGGCATGGTGTTATTTCAGTTAGCCTAATAGCTGGTTTGATTTGCATTGAAAGATGATCTTATGGAAAGTACCCCATGCCAATCTCTAGGTATGGTGAAGGGAATGTGATGATGTGGGTCTATTTTAATTCCAAAGGCCAAGGGAACTTTATCAGGATGCATATTATCCTGGATCCATGAAATAACTGGCCTTTAA